GGGGGGGGGGGGGGGGGGGGGGGGGGGGGGGGGGGGCTAGGCCATGGCAGCCTTCTACTCCCCAGGGTCTGCAACTGCAGATTCAGATGAAACTCGCGTTTGCTGAAAACTCTAATACTATTTTCTGCCCGGTTGCACTTCAACATTGTTTCTCACAAGCATAACAAGGTTCACTCGATGACCACAGTCCAAACCTATATAAATTCAATAAAGGCTGCATCTGACTTAACCAGCAGACTTTTTTTGTTGACTCAGTGCTTTCATTGATATATTCTTTGACTTTTCTGTAGAGCTTCGAAATTTCCACTATTTGCGCACGGTGAGGACCTTTGTATTCGAGAAACTGGAATTTTACTATTTCATCAGACAATTGTGGTGAAGATTTATGGCAAGGCGATTTCCTACATGCTTCTCACACGAGAACGCATTATCCGTCTTGTTCCCGTGTAGTAATTCTCTAGATCGCAAGTCAAGACAATAGGTCGGTCTGCTTAGAAACTATGAACTCCACAGCCAGGTAACAATCAAACACTATTTTGCCGACAATTTCAGCAAGAGGGTGCTGAGACCGTCTGAAATTCATCCCACCTGTGGGGAAGTCGAACCGGCGACTTGGCGATTCCAATGTTATAAAGCTATAAAACAAAAAGTCAGAAGTGCCTAAACGCCAGCAGGGCTAGTCTCCCTCTGTGTAGAGTAATGGTCCCTCACTCCAAGCTCAGAACACAGGGCTCAGAATGATGGTAGGTGATTGGCGTCCTAAGCGCGTAACGCAAACTTGCTCTAATAGGATCTACGGTCACTGGTAACCGGAAGCGTGTCTGCTTCCACAAAAGTTGACCAGCGGGAATAGATTGTTATTGTGCGGTATAACAGTCTCTCAGTTTAAACACAAATGCAACAGAATCAATTTTGGTTTCTCAGGAGGAAATGTGGCAAGGTCCTCTCGTACTTTCTTTCTCAATGCAATTACCAATTATTTGGATTGATTTTTTGAGGAAAAACTAAAATTTTTATGTTTACGACGAAATTTAATTTTAACTAGTTTTAAACGGCGCTAATAAGCGACGCAAAATTGAATTGAAATCGACATGTGGGAGAAACTATAGACTTTTCGCATAGCATCAAGCACTTAGCGTATACCCACTTTTCGGCCACCGCGCAAGCGTTGAGGCTGAAAAGTGTTGTATGCTGCAGTGCTTCACACCGACCAAAGTCTACTAACAGTCAGGCCTGCTGTGTCAATCTGCCATATATCGCAGCGCTTCTGCGACACGGGAAATGTTTAATAATGAAGCTGAACAATCCAAGGGAGGATCTCTTATTATTTTACGCTGCTGCCTATAGACTTTTCAAACGTTTCAAGGGATGTGGACAATGTCACACACCCGCAAAGGCAAGAATGAGTTCTCGCGTGGACAGAGCATTGGCGTACGGTGTAAAGTCAACTCATGACGTGGGCTGGCGGAAGCCCGCGTGAATGGGCAAACAGTGATCGGGATGGGCATGGATCGAGCTCTTATCCAATTACCAAGTCGACGCAAGTCTATAATTTGCCGTTTCATTTGAAGTACTCTTCGCAATTTACATGTCTTTCCTGCTCCTAACAAAAGTACAGGAGCCCCTCTTGAGTATTACGTTCAATGCTGTACACCTCTAGTTGAACATTCCACATTTGAAGTAATGTGGAATTGGAGGTGGACAAGACGGGTTTGGGGAAGCTTTCCTCGAGGTTCCTGAATTCACTCTGCACCCCATTGTACTGTAGCTCAGTCGCTACAAAAACCGATCACCCATTCATCATATGCCAGTCATCCTAGAAATTGCCGAAACGGCTACGTTATCAAGGACATTCATTAACACGCCAGGCGAGGATCCTAAGCCCGGCGGCGGCGCCCGTCTTCTGTGACCCGTACTACGCGCCGGCCCGGGGCCCGCCCCCGCCGTTGGATCCATACCCGCGCAGCACGGCGAGGGGTGGAGGCCGAAGGGCCCGTGACGTCAGAGGGAAAACCGGGTCACGCGTCGAGCAGAGGTGGGGATGGGGGGAGAGAGGCCCTGAGCCCGCCCCCGCGCCAGCGAGCGCCCGCGCACGCCCATTCAGCCAGCACCGGGCGAGGGCGAGGCTGGAGCACCTTACTCGCAGGCCGAGGGTTTAGGATGCTACGAGCCGGTGTAGAAGCAAGAATTTTCTTTCCGGGAACAGCTACGCAACTGAATAGTTGACAAGAGCATTCGATACTAAAAAGATAGAATATGTTATATACGACAGTTGACGAAACCGCCGTCAATGAGATGAGAAAGCCTTCAATGTAATTTGTTTACGGAATTCTTAAGACAAAGATTTGAATTGTCTAACTTAAATCCCATTGAGTCAATCTGTCATTTTTGATGCCACTACCAAAGAAGATTGTTAAGTGATCAGGTCAGCGCAAAATAAATTTTCGTATAGCGCGAGCAGGCTCGTGCTGATTTCAGTGACTACCGACAAATCCAGTGCGACACGATTCGATTGCCGATTGAAGATTGATCCCGAACGAAAGTGCACGTTCGAAGGAAAGTTACAGATTTCAGCGAAGCTTCCTGTCTGCGAAACTATTGAAACGACCCTTCTCGAGCATGTACTCTGCGCAAAGAATGTTTGTGGCCTAGTCTCGTGTGGCCTGCCTTCCTCAAGAGAACGAGATACAATATGCAACAATTGCTCGCCTTTTCTCTTATTTCCCCTTGCCTTCTAGTTCTTTTTAGGATTTCTTTTACAAGTGTGTGGATCCTGCAGGGGCCCCGGAGCGGGAGCTCCGTGATTAATCCGGCCCTGATTTTATTATACAATCTTTGAAATGTAATGCAATTTTTGACAACACCGTATATTATACACTGAAATAATTATTTTCATTAACTGGAACATTTTTTGCTTGAAAAATTTCACATTTTTCTCTGAACTCGTTTCGTCACAGTTCTAATAATTTTCAATGACAGTTACAGTACTAATGACTTCATAATTTCACGACTGTGCTTGGGTAAGAACTCGTCCGCACGGAAAACTGATCCGTTTTACTTAACTCAATTGAGGTTTAATTTATTTACTATCTTAAAAATGTTTAAAATAGTTTTTGGAGAAGTACCGGTGTTATGACACTATACGTAGCAGAATCAGCATAGAGAGCAATATTCGAAGGCATCGTATACGTAGTTAGAATCTTCAAATTCTACAATGAATCATTTTCCCCTTACTTCAATACTCACTACTTTAGCTCTCTGAATTGTAGCCCTAGGACACTAAAGATTTGACAGAGCCTTCTGTCTACACTGCGAACTAGAAGGTCCTCGACTCCCCGATTCTTGACAACCCAAGAGACCGATGACTGGACAAAAAAGGGTCCGTTGACCGTCACAGGCATTGTCGAAATCTGTCAAGTTTGTAAATCTAGGTTTTGCGCAGCGCCATCTGTACACCTCTCGACTACCGACTACTACTACTACCTACACGGAAATCTACCGCGAGCCCGTTTCTCTCGCAGGAAACCCAACTTAGAGGGCCGGGTTCCCAATCCAGGCATCCGGAGGCGAAATTTGGTGCACGTTGGTTGCCTCCGCCAAAAGAGTAGGAAGCGGGCCTGGGAAGGGCGGGTGTGTGGGCTCCAACGGCCCGTTCGGTCGATTCGCAAAGTCCTCCCCCGCCCCAGCCCCAATCCTCCTGCCGCCCCCGCCGCTCGGTCGCCCTGCCTATTCGCCGCCAACGCCCACGCCCTCAGGAAGAGTGACAGCGACATGGGCTCGGCTCTTCCCTATGCCCCGGTCGACCGGCTAATATGGTCCAGCGCAGGGAAGCGGGGGCGCACCGGCCAGTCGCTGCAGACCGAGCATCCTTCGATAGCGCACTCCGACACAATTGAGTCACATTTCATAATACGAATAATTACGAACAGCTCTCTGGGTATCGACACTACGAAATAAAATAACGATTTTTATCACAGTACGAAGCGGATGCGGGAAGGAGATGGGGTGTAATAAAACCAATTGTGTTAAATTGTTTACGTGTAATTGTCTAGTAAATATTAAACACTTCGGATCTGAACATTGAGGAAAGTATTAATTACGTGCGAAATCTCATTTCAACAGAATCCAGTTTCTACAATTTAAGAAAATCAAATTAAAAGCTGATTTATCTGTTTCATGATGGCTTGTATCACGTAGCCATGAGGTCAATGAATCACCTGTCGATTGCAGGTAAATTACTATAAACATTCTGGTTTATTTTATCACCTTATCGCAGCAAACAAAACAACGCAGTCCACACGACGGAAAACGCGAACATATTCCATTATCGGTGAGAGCACAAAAAACCTTTTTTCCACCCCATGCACGTCATCCATTTCTTGATTCTAAACTGCTTTGTTCAACTCCCAGGCACAGCATTACAGCGTGCTCGCCGTAAATAAACAGGACGGTAACAATGGCAAGGAAGCCATCTGGGGGCGGAGAAGAGCGCAACGGACGCCGTCAAGTCTAATGCGTCGGCCATCGCGATAGAGGTCACGGAAGGCCGGAGCTGCGCGGCGGGGCTAACAGCGCTAAACGAGACGAGCGCCGCCTCTGCGCCGGGGCCGTAGACCCGCACCCACCGCGCGAAGGCCGGGGAACTCCGTGCACTAGCGCCTTTCAAGCGGTCGCCGAGTGCCAGCCTCGCATTACGACGCACGACTTCTTCGACACTCCGTACGACGCACCTCTTCGACCCTCTGCCACATTTCGAGCCATTCTCATGTACTATGGAGCCTGGAAATCGTGCCGGATGGGCCAGGAAAGGGAAGATCGAAACGGGACGATGTGCCCTCTCATTTCGTGTCATACGGCGGATTTGGTGGTGTAACGGTTAGTGTATCTGACTTTAACGGTGATTCAAACCCGACCGAAGACTTGCATTTATATGAGCGAAAAAAATCGCACGGAATTGACCTCAAAGTTGGGAAACGAGCGAGCAGAATACTCCTAAAATTTTCATGGAAACTGTGGCATCGTCTGACTCCGCGTACGCTTCGCCGAAAAGCCGCATGTACAGATAATAGGAAAATGCAGATGCGGGGGGCAAGGCCGGGGGTGTGCGACGCGGCAGCGAGGAGGCGCGAGCAATGACGTCACGTGCCGCGTGGGCGACAGAAGCGGGGGCGGCGGAGGCACGTGCGGGGTCGGGGGCGGGCGCCGCATCGCGATCGCGCCACAGCGCCGCCAATCGATACGCCGCCTCACCCCCTCCGGTTGCCGCCAGGGCAGCGAGTAATTGGGAGACAGCCTAAGCCGCCGTGGAATCCCAAGCGAGAGAACGGTTAAGTGCAAGTGCACTGTGCGCACGGCGCTCACGCCTACAACCAACGGAATCAATTAGACTTCTCTGTTCAGTAGCAAGGAATCACAATTTTAAATAGCGCGAGCCATGTTGTACACTACAGGGTTTCATCTGCCCTGACCTTGGCTCAACAGCGTCACGGGGCGACTAGTCCCCCCAACCCATCTGTACCTTATTATTTTCGAATTCTCCCTCCCATATTTTAGTACTGGCGACGCCCGTGCATTTACCTTTCCAGTTTCCTCATTTTACAGAAACATTCTTCGCTTTACATGAAAATATGTTAAAGCAAGTGGTTAGTGAAACGCAATTCTTCGCGTTGCTTAACGATTTCAATTTTCGCCTTTGTGGAGTCTTTTCCATACACAACCTAAAAACGTAAAACAACACGCACTAGCAACACCGACGACCTCGGCAACATCGGAAGTGAGCTAGAAAACTCTTCGCTCCTTCTCTTGAAAGGCGGAGTGCTCCCGAAATCGCCCCCCCCCCTCCCCCATCCCGCACTTTCCCGTCAGTCAATCCAATTACTTCAGCGAAGGCGCCAGACGGCCCGCTTTCCTCTAGCGGGGCACCCGCTGATCATTCGTCCACACGCATTTCTTTGCGCCACAAGCACCACTACACACTGCATCCTGCTCAGAAGGACGTCTTTTTCAATAATTACGCAGTCCCTTTGATCAAGCCACAACGCATCACTTACAATTCAGATAGCACTCTAAAAGTTCACATTTTATTTTAATTTATTATTCTTATTTTAAGTCAATTTTTTAAAAAAAATATACGGAAATACGTGATTGATTTATATCGGTTTTTGATGTAATACCGTCACTATTCTAAGACTGGTGAACAAGAGATTGAAAGAATGAGCACTTTCAGATAGAAAATTAGTATAAAAATCTAAAAATTTGGAAGAATCAAATTGGAAATTCCAAGTACTTAATAACCTCTGTACCTTTTTGCAGGGAAGTTTTTGAAAGCTGTTTAAAATGTTTATAGAAGTGATTAGAACGCGTATTTTTATTTCTTAATTTACAAAATTCCATTAATTGTATGTAATGACATACTTCTTTCCCGTAATGATTTACATGCATTTTAGAAGAAGGGTGACGATATATTCTCGCCCCGCCTGATCCTGACTGCCGAAAATCTAAAGTAGTCTAAATAAGGCGGGAGCGGGGGCAAAGGACGAGGGACGAGGCCACCCGCGGGTCACGC